TCGCCCTCTGCCGCTCCCACCATCAAAACATACTCATCATCAATCACTCCACTCAATCAAGCTAAAGCTAGCCCCTGATGAGGAATTACTTGATTATATATATATATATATATATATATATATATATCAATAACCACAGCAATGCAAGAAAAGTAAGAAGAAGAAGATGAGCTCATGTCATGTAATTTATATTTATGTATCGTTACTCCGACGCCGATCCGATCTTTGTAATTATACATGACCTCTATTCTGTTATGTTATATCATATATCATGTATCTTCTTCACTTAATCATGATGAGTTGGATTTCATTTTATATTAGAGACCTTTCCAGTTACCTATTTGATTGATCTCCATGTTAATGAGCTGCTTGCTTCATTTTCATGTTAATTCAATGCTTAGTGTCGCTAAGCCCATTTTTTATAGATATTTATTCAAAAATTCATTTTAGCATGAGATATTAAAATGAAAATGAATCAATTAGAAAACGATAAGTTTCTAGTTTTGGATTTTTCTCTCCAAATAGACTCTGTGTTTTTGTATAATATGTCATGCTAGAATTGGCCTATTAGTGAAAAGCCCTTTTTTTTTTCTTTTTTTCTTTTTTCTTTTACTAAAAGTCTTAAGATTCACGATAACTTTAAGTACCTTTCAATAAATAATATATTCATATTCCACTAGTAGAGGAAGTTTTTAACTACCCTAAATAAAAATAATTTATCCTCCTCTAGAAGAGAGAGAGAGTAGGCCTTTTCTAAATTATTTTTTCATAGACAATTTGTCACAATTATTATTAATCTAGTATGTGCCCCATATGTACGTTGTAATTAAATAAGTACCATTCTTATAAATTAACTATTCTAAAAATATTAGGTAATTAGCCAATGATGAGCACACATATATGTATTATATTGTTTAATTTCTTTTGAAAAATCTTGTGCAAATCTATTTTTCAATATTCATTAGAGTGATTTTTTTTCCTTTAATTTCAGGGAGAAATTTATCGTGTAATTGCTATCATTGACCTTTGTTGAAATATGCAAAGCATATCACAGATTATGTGGAGACAATTGTGATTTAGTTACCTTGTATAGGTCTTGATTATAGGATCTTGATTCTTTGTAATTACAGCACTTGCCTTGTATAGCCTAGCCTAGCCCTATATTACTATGTAATGCATTCATCTTTGATATATGAAAATACAGGAGTCTTCTCCTTTATTAAACGTTGTCTAGCCTCTGTTTCTTTTCATGGTATCAGAGCGCCATTCCTGGTGACTCACACACCTTTAACACCTTCCGCAAACACTGAGACATGGCTGGCGACGATGAAACACCAAAACCTTCCGGCGTTTAGCCTAACACACAAGATACAGAGACCATTGATGCCTCTGATCCTTTTTACATACACCATGCGGATCAAACAGGTCTGACCCTTGTCACGCAACTTCTAGATGGTGACAATTATGCAACTTGGAGTCGGGCGATGTTGATCAACTTGGAAGCAAAAAACAAACTCGGTTTCGTTGACGGCACAATCAAGGCACCGCCAACAACCAGCGCCAAATACCTCTTTTGGAGGAGATGCAATCAGTTGATTAAATCTTGGATTCTCAATTCCATTAGCCCTTCATTGGCTAACACTGTGATTTATGCCAACTCCGCCGCCGAGGTTTGGTCAGATCTCAAAGAACGTTTTTCTCAAGGGAATGTGTCTCGTATTTTTCAGATCAAGCGAGAAATTGCTGAAATGCGACAGCACCAGCAGTCTATTTCAACATATTACAACATGCTTAAAGGTCTTTGGGATGAGTTGGGATCATATCTTCCCATGCCATCATGCCAATGTAATCCAGCGTGCAAGTGTGGAGTCATGAAGGAGCTTGCTGACAGAGAGCAACAAGAACAGGTACTTCAATTTCTTATGGGCCTAAATGATACTTATTCGGCTGTTCGTACGCAGATGCTTATGATGTCTCCTTTACCCACGGTGCGCAAGGCATATGCCATGCTCATGCAAGAAGAAAGACAGCGACAAATAACTGAGAATAGCACAATCAGTTCCGTTCATGCCATGAACACATCAAAGAGTACCAACAAACAACCTCGCAAAGTGCACGACGATGACAACAAGAATTTACATTGCACACACTGTAATGGTGACACCCATACAGTTGATCGCTGCTACTACCTTAATGGTTTCCCAACATGGCACAAACTACATGGAAAGGCAGTCAAGCCACCCAACAAGAACAAGCGTGTGGGCGACAACAACACCACCCAGGAATCACAAAAGGGAACTGGTACTCAGACTTTGGATGATCTGAAATTCACCCCTCAAGAAGTTAATCAGATCAAGTCCTTTTTACGAGGTGATGGTAAAATTCAAGCCTTTGCAAATGCTACAGGTATATCACATGACTCTTGGATAATTGATAGCGGTGCAACAGACCACATTTCTTCTTCACCCAAATTGATTCCTAAGAAAACCATTTTGTCTAATTCTTCAGTCAACATGCCCAATGGTTCACAGGCACATATCTCTTGTCTTGGTTCTGTTCAAATCACTCCTCATCTAAAATTGGAAGACGTGCTTTGTGTTCCTGGTTTCCGAGTCAATTTAATGTCCGTCAGTAAATTAACTCGTCATCTCCATTGTCTTATCTCATTCTTCCCTACTTTTTGTATCATGCAGGATTTAACAACGAAGAAGATGATTGGGTTGGGGAAGGAGCATGATGGTTTGTACTAT